CGCAGTTTATTATTTAAGCATCAATAGATGTTTTTGATCTCCTTATTAGAGATACTTTTGCGGAGAACATGTTTCAGATTCCGTGAAGAAAATCGCGAAATGCAGCTATTTTATTTTTATTTTTTAGTCCAAAGAGGCTTTGTCCCTGAAGGACTATTGTTTCCCTTTTACCATTTTGCGTTGAATCACTATAAATGTCCGTTTCACTTTTCAAACTGTTGCCACCAAATGTTAGAGTCCTGCATTATATTTGAAGAAATTAAATAATGGAAAATTCTGCTTAAATGTATGTATATTTCTCGCATTGTTATAAAACAACGTTACATAGAGCCATCGAATTTTGAACGACGTAATCCTACTGCGAATATGGGCATGTGGAAGGCCCAAATTTGAAATTAGGAATTTGTTTTAATATCGATTTCATATCTTTAACGAATTTTTGAGTAACAAACTCGAAGACTCGAAAGCGAGCAATGGCAACACTCTACGGGGGAGGAAACCTTTTTATCTCTAGCGCACGGAACTGTATATCGGAAATTCTAAAGATAGGCTCATTTTAAAATTATTTTGCGACATTGCTATTGAACTGAAATTTATGGTGTAAGCGCGAAGAACATGATATTTAATAAATAAAGGTAACACACAAAACGTTAAAAAAAACGCCGCTGTTGGACGTAACTTAAAATCTGAAACCTTTCAGATTTTTTTAAAAACATTTTTAACTATTATTTTTACCCCTCCTCTTAAGAAATAATACTGGATACACTAAGAAATAACGAGGGGAGCTTAAAGTTCTTTTGCTGATTGGTGAGCAAAGCATAATCTGCGAAAAAAATCTAGATTTTCATACATATGGGGAACATATAAATAGAAGGAGTTTTGACAGCATTCATGCGTACTTTCGCTCTCCGAAACAAGATCATTAATACTACAGATGCTCTTTGACATCTTTCTCATTACAAGAGTTCCTCTTTTTTTTTTTTTTTTTTTCATTAATTTAGAAAGTCTTAGTGTGCACAGTTACACTTTTTTTCTATTCTTTACACTATCTAATGTACAGCGAAAGCTTAGTCTTGATTTTTCTTTCATTGTTAAACAAGCAAAGTATCTTTAATAAATCATTCGGAAACACTATAGGAGTGTCTGACTTTACTTCATTATTGACAGTGAATCGGTATGAACAGAATAATAAATAAAGCTGCCTGTGTGAAACGAATATTAAATAGAGTAACGTGGGAAGCTATAGATAATTGTTAAGCACAATTAGAGCATATAAATCTGTGTCAGTATCAGTTGCATAATATAATGCACCAAACATTGGTCCTTCAAATAAGCGTTCCCATCGAGATTGTGTCTCCTTATCATAAAAATGTTCACGACTAACCAAATATAAGAGATCGCGGTTGTATGAAACTGCCATTAAATTGAGCAAAGATACCTACAAACATATTTTCATTATTTTCAACTCAGTGGTATTAATTTTGTAGCATTTATGTGACACTGTTATCAGAAATCTCTCATTTGAATACAAGTACTGATGAGCAATACAAACTGTTGGTTAAACAAAGAATCATTTATGACACTAAAGTTTTATTTACTGTTTGTAATCATTACAGGTACTTGATTTTTATTTATGAATTGAGACGGGTACTGATATTTAATATTTTTGTCTTCACATACACGTATTAAAGTATCATTTTATAAACTATACAATTTTTAGTAATTGACTTCACTTATTTGAGTTGTATATCAAATGTGTGATAATTACAAAATTATGCGAAATTAAACTATTTAAGAAATTAGATTTTTAATGAACATTACCAATTTCAAAAAGCAAACAAAAAATGTTAAAACAAAAATATTTTATACATAAGCAAAAAAAAATCAATCTAGAGTTAACCTACCTTAATAAAATAAATCAAGCAAAGGATTTTTATACTGATGGTGGATGGTGCACTTTCTCATACCGTTTAATTATTCGTTATTCAATAATCATTGTACCGTTTGGTATCTTATATATTTGAATTTACGAATCTGTGTTATAATAATTCTAAATTTCTTTAAACTTTACAATAGACTCAAACGCTAATGAAATGATAATTGCAACCTAAAGCTATAGGTTCATTTAATTATAACAGAAACGCGAAAATGAATCCTCCCAACTTTAGAAAAAAGTTTTATGCAGCGTGTTTCAAAAAGAATATATGTATTTCGAATGAATATATTTATTAAACTGAATGACATGCGATTATGAAACTTTACAGACATATGTACAAACCTCTCTAGCTCAGATTACAGATGTTACAGATGTTCAGCATGTCCTCCATCAGCGACACGAACAATACATATCAATACTCAAATTCCTTCCATACTCGGGCAAGCATATCCGTCGTCACTGATGTTATGGCAGTACGGATCCGGTTCTTCACATCTTCCAGGTTCTGTGTGAGTGGTGGTACATAAACGTTGTCATTAATGAAAACCCACAGGAAGAAGCCACAGGGTGTCAAACTCAAGAACACAAAAATAATTTCTGCTTCAGAGTAGCCATTTTAAACATGTGACGATTACCACGCAAAACAGAAGACAACTGACATCTAGCGGCTATTAATATAAACTAGACTATATATTCGTATCGCCAATAGCCGAGCCGAGGCGCAGTGATCAATAGTTTGGACAAAATAACACTTTGTAATACTTATATTCTTTTTGAAACACGGTGTATTTTATACGATTAATCTTATTGAATTTATTTTAAATATTGCATTCGTCAAAATGGAAATTGCAGCACCATGAAGGTATGAACGCAGCAATGTGAAAATGAGAGAATCAGTAGAGGTAAGACACATATGCAGATGATTAAAAGAAAGAAATAAAGATATGAAAAAATTAAACTGTTTATTCAGTATCTAATGTGGCCCCACGTGCAACTATATAGGCCTCTGAACGTGGGGTATACTGTCTGTGAACCTATTAATAGTCTTATGAGATATTCCTTACGAAGCTGAGTCCATTGTAGCTCTCCGTTCCCTGTTCCTATCGAATCTCAGCTCCTCATTTCCCATTGCAGCTCTCAGTGCGCCTACGTTGCATTGTGCACCACACTTTCGATGGCAGCCCTCTTAAGCTCGATGGAAAAGAGATCGAGTGAGGCTACCGGCCAGGGAAGGATGTTAGTTTCACTAAGGTTGTCTGAGTGTGACGTGCGACATAAGGCCGAGCACTGACCTGCTGGAATAACGTGCCGGGGGCAGCCCGCACTACTGACCGTACAATAGGCATAACAATTTGCGTTGCTTATTGGTTCAATGTTAACCTGCCAGTAATGTGCACAAGGGTTGTCCTCTATCCGAACATGAAGGCAGCCTAAACCATGAAGCCAGGTGCGGCGCCATTGTGACGATCGACGATATGGTTTGACATGTAACGTTGTCCAGAGAGGCTGCCACACATATCCACGACCATCATTTTTTCCACAAACAAAAATCAGGATTTGTCTGAATGCAATACTCGATGGAATTTGTTCCTTCCTTGACTTCCTTGACTTGTGTCTAGTAGCACTGGCTGGCCGCGGTGCGCGCATTCTCACCTCTTGCAACCCGAAACGAATGGTTTTGCAGGAGACAGCTATCACTTCTGATAATGGAAGGTAGGTTTGAATATGACTTGCCGGCTCCTCACGAACATTTGCCGAATTTGCCTACCAGGGCGGTCTGATATGCACCTGGATGATCTGCTGCTTCCTTACTGCGTCCATCATGCCACACATCACTGAACTGTGCTTACGTCCCGTTCAAAACGACTAGCAGTTGCGCCCCCAACGCTAAATTCAGCTCATCATACTTTCTCATTCCTCAGCGGATAACTGCTGATATCTCTGAGGAATTTTCTACCCGTCTTCAATTGTTCTATTATAACAATCTGTCACTGATAGCATATACAAAGCAGCCAGCTATTGGCTTTTGTAGCAAGAAACTAGGAATCTTTTGACCAGATGTGCACGCGAATATAATCATTTGCATATGTCTCTTACATCTACCGATCCTGTTATTTTCCATCGCTACGCGCATTTCTTCATGGTGTTGCAGTTTCACCTTTGACGAGTATAATTTACAATTACTATTCTTAACATTTAATAATTAGCTGTAAATAGCAACTGAAAATTTTAATTAGCTCTTAGCAGTTGATACTATACTGTAGACAAAACTTATGAACATTTAATTAATTCTAAATGTTGCTAATTTTACCTTTAATTGAGATAAGTAAAATACGCTATGAATTTCAGGCTTTTATTGAAAACTTTGATAAGTTTGACAATAATTTATTTAGACAATTTTCTCAGTTAAATTTCGAATAGCTATTCAAATGCTCTTTGACGTAATGCTCTAGCTCAAATAAGTATAGTTTACCCTATATGTTATTTCTCCCGCCTTCTTAGCATGCCTTCGTGGTGTAGTGGTCAGCCCGCTCGGCGCGTATTCGAGAGACCCGTGGTTCGACTCCCGGCGAAGGCTTTGCGCATTTTTCATCTTTCCGGCTTCGAAATTACCTAAAGTCTCTACAGTGGTGCTCTAACTAAAAAATTTGTGGATGATGATTCTCCACCCCCACGATTTGGCGATTGGATCTCCTAATCCCCATTCAACATTAAAATTTGCTCATTTTTTAACGTTGCTCATTTTTCATCGCTCTGGCTTCGAAATTATCTAATATGTCTACAACCCAAGTTACGGTTATATTTTTTTAATTTATTATTTTTGTTTATAAGTGTTTCTTACTTGACATTTTGAGTAAATCTTTCAATATTATTTCTTCCATGAGTGATTTCAAAATATTATAAAGTAATTGATTTTATACATGTTAACACCTAGCATGTATTAGTTATGTAATAATTTATTCTACTATTAATTTGTATGTGAGACTTATATATTGATAATCAGAATACTATATAATGATAATCATAATACTGATGAAATAATTTCCATTTGCTCTTTTTTCAGGGATTATTTCCGTCATTGTTGGCGGTGCAGTGGCCATAGTAGACCTCTTGTTTCCAAACAAGTTCACAACTATTTTAGAAGTTGACTATGACATGCCGTACAGGTAAATTCAAGACCTTTACCGAAACTTACTTCTTTTAGTTTGCAGAAAAGTGGAAAACAACAGTAGTTTCTATCAGCTAACTGCATAGTTACGATGAAAATAGCCTTTATCTCTTTCGAGGATGAAATGCAAAGTTATTCTGTTTGAAGGTTCTAATATCGAGAATAGCAACCAATGAGGGATTGTGTAAATATTACTGAGGCCTGTAGAAGCATTTAAAAATTTTATTTTTATGAATGATCAGATAACTAGATTCTTATCTGTAAAGGTAATGTGTTACATGTTACTTTTGGCGCTTACATAAGGTGTCCCAGAAAAAAATGCTACGACGATACGTAGCATACTCATGGGATTAGAATATACAGTGCCGTTGGAATGATTTCTGGTACAACGCTGTATTTAAGAGATATACGATTTCAGAATACCATTATGTCATTTCCGGCCAAGATACCGTGATATACACAGACCTGAATATTCTGCATGATCTGTCTCATAGTAAGTACTATGGCCAACAATCGCGGGCCAATGACATCAGTACAAGTAAAGTTACATCGTTGAAGTATGGAATGTTTATAAAATGGTATTTTCCCTTCCTTTTCGTGTGCTTTCGTGGTGCAGCTAGAAGCATTTCTGGCTCGTATTCGGAAGGTCCAGAACTCGAATCCCGGTGAGAACACTGCGGAATTCTTTAGATTTAAGACTTCGAAAAAAAATTATAAGGACTCTACAGGTTGCGCCCTAACTGAAAGGTAGTGGACGATAATTCGTCACCACCAGAATTTGTCGATTGGGTCTCTAATTCCCAGTTCTTCTTTAAAAGGGGGACTATATAACATATTTCCTCCCTCCTTTCCACATGCCTTCGCTGTGTAACTGGAAACACGCTCGACATGTATTCGGGATGTCCGAATTTGGAATCCCGCAGAAGGCATTGTGGATTTCTTCAGTTTCCTGACATCAGAAAATTCTACAAGACTCTACATTTGTTACATTTACAAAATAAAAAATAAATTTTAAAAAATGTAAAACTGAGTTGTGTCGAAGGCAAAGGAAATGCATGTGATGAGTTTCTGTGTGGTGTTTAAGGCCTCCTACATGTTAATTTATTTACATTGTCCAGTAAGATGAATGCGTTTCAGGTGTGACGATCTATGGACAGACAAAACATCATCGAGAATGAATCATAAATATCCAGTGCTTAGGCTGGTCGGAAATGACGTAATGGCATTTTAAAGTCGTATAGCCTGCAAATAAAGTGAGGTATGCTAAGCATTCGAAAAGTATATTGTTTCTTCTGACTGTACGCATGTAAAATTTTCTTCTGCTATGTAATATTCTCACTGTATGCCTAAAATGATATCCTATTCGTTATTTTTTTTAATTTAGGCTTTGGTTGTGTAATTTATTTTTATGTTTAATTTATCTTTCTGCGTAGTTTATTTTTTAAATATATTAAACAGTAAAAAAAAAAAAACAGAATGAATAATTCTAATGCGAAAACAAAATATCTTAAGAAAGCTTGGAATACGTAGGAATGCCATAATTCTATCGAGCTTCAGTTTGTGAAACAACAGATAAATCATTGTTGGTTCGAGTCGTCCCTCTGAAACCCAGATATAAGTAGTACTTTCATTTTACTTGTAGGATACTCAAGGATACTAATACTTGTAGGATATAAAAAGATTGTACTAACCTCTATAGTCTGAAAAAAAGGATCCTTCACATTTGTCACCAGATTATTCCTGTAATCATCAAATGTGTATTATTGAAAAGAAAATATCGAGTGAATCTGTTTATGGTACACAAGTGGGATCATTTTGAACAGGCTCTATAAATCTGATGTGATGCCAAATTCACTAGATATCCTTTTACGCTCTAAAATTTTTAATGACATTGTGACATTGACAAAAATAGTTTTAAGGTGTGTAGATTTTTCTGTACAAAATGCAGATGAAACCAAATTACTAATCTTTTTCATATCCAAACGGTACTTACTTTCTGGTTGACCTTTGTAAATATCTAAGCTTTTACTTCTACAGAAACGTCCTAGATAATTTATTTTAAAAACTTTTAATATTTCAATTTTGCATATATTTCATTTTTATCACTCAGTTAGTTTCTATTTATTTTTATTATGTCTTTTACGCTTCCGCTTTCTACAATTTTAATTTTTTTCTGTTGAATTTCCTCTTTTTTTTTTTACCCTTATGTTATTCCTTCCTTTTATATTTATTTCTGTTTGCCGCTTCAAATTATATGTATGCATTTATATATTTAATTTAATGAGAATTTTTGGCTGATCTTTGGAATATGGTAACTGGTAGTTTGGCGACATTTGGGAAGCGATAAAGGTTACTACCTAGGACTTTGGTAATAATGTGAGAAGTACTCACTTCCGATTACGCATTATTTTGTGTGAGGGAAATGAGAGATCATGAGATATGTCATGGGACATTAATGGACGAATTACAGTTCTTTAATCGGAAAAGGGGGGAAATCTCGAAAAATTCTGGAAATTTTGTATTTAGCTTTATTTTATGTTGTGTGAAATAGGGTATACGTTTGAGTGGAAGTAAACGTGCATTGAAATAATATAAATATTTGACACTAAGTATTTGTAACCATTTGTAATGTTAGCGGTATGAATTCGTTGGTGACGTTTAGATATAATAGATAATAGAGGTAACGTTTTGGATATTTATTTATTTTAACGTGGAAATGTTCATCTTTGAAAGGGTATATACTTTTTCGCGATCAGGAATTTATATATGTTCTTTTTACCGGATTAAAGATTCAGAAATTGTCATGCATTTTCAGTGAAATTTTCTAATTTATGAGAAAAAAAGCAGGTACATGGATATAGTGAGAGTGTGCGCAATGCCTTTTTGTGCAATTCTGGGATTTTTTTTAAGTAAAAAAAATCGAGTGTACATGGTTAGTGATATTTTAATAAATGATAGTTATTTTGTGAATTTTATTGTAGGAATTTTGTATACGTTTCAGTTGAAGTAAACGTGCATGGAAATAATTTAAATATTTGACATAGTATTTGTAACCATTTGTAATGTTAGCGGTATGAATCGTGGTGACGTTTATGATATAATAGATAATTAGAGGTTAAACGTTTTTGGATATTTTATTTATTTTATACGTGGAAATGTTCATCTTTGGAAAGGGTATATACTTTTTCGCGATCAGGTAATTTCATATATGTTCTTTTCCCGGGTTTTAAAGATTCACAAAATTTTCATGTATTTTCGTGAAATTTTCTAATTTATGAGGAAAAAAGCAGTGTACATGGATATAGTGAAGAGTGTGCGCAATGCCATTTTTGTGCAATTCTGGGATGTTTTTTTTAAGTAAAAATAAGTCGACGTGTACATGGTTTATGTGTATGTGCTATTCTGAAAAACGCGCAAGGAGTTGCGATTGTGCACTTTTTCCCGATTTTTGCAGTTAATATTGTCATGATTAAGCAGTTTTGTTACATAAAATTTCTAGCATAAGTGTAATTCGGCTAGTAGATTGTTGGAAAAAGTGTTCAGTAAATAAAAAGAAAAGAAACATGTCTTTACTTCGTGAAGACAAAATGGCGGCGAAAAAGAGAAAATAGAGGGTTGCTGTAGCAGAGTTAATCGCCAAATTTTCGCCAAAAAATCGCCAAGTTACCATAATCCAAAGATCAACCGAATTTTTTAGATAATTAAGTTTCTTTTGGCTTTACTAACTTGTTCAATGATTAGCTCAGAAATAAAGTTATAATTGAATTTTTCGTATCACCACACACCTGCAGGAAATTCTATAAGAAATGTATAACAGTACAGTTTATAAGGTATTTCTCCCACTTCTCTAGCGTACCTTCGTGGTGTAACGGTAGCACGCTGGGACGGTATTCCAGAGGTCCGTGGTTCGATTCCCGGCGAAGGCGGTTGCATATTTTTCATCTCTCTGGCTTCTAAAAAATCCTAATGTCTCTACAAGTATAGCTTTTATGATCGTTTCTTTTTTCAACTTCACTGCATTTTAGTTCACTGTGATAATTACATTATTCTTCTAGCATATCGCTAATTAAATATAGCTATCAACGCATTATTTAGTAACAGGTTATTTTGAGATAATTCCCTCTAGTTTTTAAAAGCTATATATATATTAAGGCACAATAACACGCCGAATAAATACTAATTCAGAAGTCAAACAACAAAAATCAGCGTTATACCTACAAAATTTGACTAGTTTCGATGGTTCGGTAAAACCATCGAAACTAGTCAAATTTTGTAGGTAATAACGCTGATTTTTGTTGTTTGACTTCTGAATTAGTATATATATATACTATACTATATCAGCGTGATCGTGAGTATTATGAACAGTGGATCTGTGGTGTAAAGAAATGCAGCAATACTTTCGATTTATATTGCTCAGAGTAAACTGTATTATCCCTTGAAGCAGAGTTATATATCAGTTACTAAACGTTACAAAATATTGAATAAGTACTCATTTTTATTGCTTATACATACGCATAATTATATTTCAGTCAAGATTTTTCTATAGCTTTTGTAAAAAAAAGCAATAAATTCTATGTTGGAAAGTCGAAATATTCTGCATCCCATGACAAATTTAGCAGTCCTTTTAGTTAAATTACTATGTAGAAAAGGAAAGCAATAATTGAATAGGGGTCGCTTATATCTGTTTCTCTCTGTTAATGTTCTAATAATTCTCTTCTCAAATGCCAAATTAACTCCTTTTTTTGTTTGTGAAAGTCTCTTTCCAAGACTTCAGAGAAACTTCTTATTTTCCTTCTGATCAGTTTATGCATTTTAACGCTTCTTCTAAAGCAAAGAAAAGATTTCATAGTTTTCGTAAGGTTGATTGAATGATGCATTTAAAACTGATACAAAAGAAAAATTTTTCAGGTACTTTGTGTCCCATCCGGAACCCTTGAAAAAACAACAGTGTTCACAAGCCAACAGCTCTGCGTCTGCACAAACGTCATCTACTAATACATCCCAGAAAGGATTTGAAAATAACGCTTACGAAACTGACGAAGAAGACTACAGCACCATTGTGAATGGAAAGAGGGCTGTTAGCCTCAGAAATTTTGGAAAATTTGCCCAAAAAGAAGGTCTTAAGAAAAATCCTCTGTCTTCTTTCATCCAACCCAAGTAAGTTAATGATCATTATGCTATGCTTCAATTCCGGTGTTAACCTAAGTTCTATAAGATCTGTAAAAACATTTTGATCGATTATTTTTAAATTTCTCTTGAACGCTCCACTGGTTTGTTAAAAATAATGTATTAAATAAATTATCAGTATTTTATTTGCATAATGTGCCTGTTCAGTAACACTTTTTATGTATGGAAACAAGATACTTTTTCATACCTGAAAAAGTAAATGTTGTAAGTAAAGAACAAGTAATTGATGTTAACTACTTGAAAAATCTCCCAAAAAATTTAATAGTGGTTCTGCTGGTGTATATATACTTTTTCTCTTCTTTTAATTTCTGAAATTGCAAAAAAATTAAAACATTGAAGATATTCCTTGTATGTCATTTTGTTAGGAAACAGCTAATAAATCAAGCCGGTTATTCGGAGATTCCTTATTTAACTTCGGACGCAGGCATGGTGAACATTTCAAGGTTTCCAGCTCCTCAACTTTTTCAATAGTACAGTTTACTAAAATAATGTTTCTCAACCACTGTTCCCTGAAACCCTAGTTATATGTATACGATAATGTAATGATGAATAGACTAGTCATATGCAAATATATGTAAAATGTTTATTGAGGAGATCCTGAGATATGGAAGTCGTTTTAAAGTTTCCGCAAAAGTAAAAAGAATGGGGAATCTTATACTAAAGCATGGTTTTGTGGCCTTTCATTGATGGATTTAAAAGGTCTTTCAGTTTTGGAATAAAATAAATGAATAAAAGAAATCACTTTGAAAATTGGGCTAAATATTTTACTAGAAAGTCGTAGTATGGTTATATTGCTGGCTGAAGATCTAAAATATCTCTTATCAAGTCTAATTATTATTTTATCATTATTAGTCTTATGGGGTAGCGGTTAAAATACGAAAGATTTGTTCTTACTTAATACAACTCCAAAAATGTTACAGTGACTTTATATATTCTGGTTTATTGTTTTGAGTAGACATTTTTATTAGTCCAAAGGAGCTTTGTCCCTGAAAGACTATTGTTTTCGTTTTGCGATTTTGCGTTGAATCACTATAAATGTCCGTTTCACTTTTCAAACTGTTGCCACCAAATGTTAGAGTTCTGCATTATGTTTGAAGAAATTAAATAATGAAAAATCTGCATAAATGTATTTATATTTCTTGCATTGTGATAAAACAACGGTATCTAGAGCCATCGAATTTTGAACGACGTAATCTTCCTACGAATATGTGTATGTGGAAGATCAAATTTGAAATTCGGAATTTGTTTTATGATCGATTTCATATTTTGTAAAACTTTAATGAATTTTTGAGTAACAAACTCAACGATTTAAAGGCGAACAATGGCAACACTCTACGGCAGGAAAAACCTTTTTATTTTTAGCGCGCAGAACTGTGTATTGGAAATCCTAAAGATATGCTCATAAAAATTATTTTGCGACATTGCTATTGAACTTAATTTTATGGTTTAAGAGTAAAGAACGGGATATTTAATAAATAAAGGTAACACACAAAACGTTGAAAAAACGCCCCTTTGGACGTAATTTAAATTCTGAAATCTTTCAGTTTTTTTTTTTTTTTTTTTTTTTTTTTTTTTTTTTTTTTTTGTTTTGTTTAGCTTTGTTATTATTATTTCTTATTAACGCATGCATAACCAGGAATTCATTTCTATGAAAAAGAGGAGTAGTTTTCAAGTTTAAACACTATATCCCTCTGTAATACTAATGTTAAATCTTTAGCATTACAAACTTATAACTTGTAATGCTAAAATAATAAGTTCAAATAATATATGCTTAATAAATAAAATTCTAATAGCAATATTTCTACTGGGGTGCTCTGTGGCGCGTTAGATTCAGTCAGTTAGCAATGAAGCTGGTACAAATCCTAAATTTCCTCGAATTCGAATCTGAATCTTGAAAGGTTCTCGAATATTTATTGTTAAAAGTTATAATCAAGTCCAAATCTGAAATCTGCAATTAATGAAAACAAATTTAGAATACGTTTTTTTAAATACGTCCCTATTTATTAAAAAGATAAAATGAAATTTATTTTGTAAATGAAATTTGGGGAACGAAATAAGTAATTAAAATCCTTGCATCTTCATATTCATTTTGTTAATATAAATCCATAAAATATCTGTTAACACCAATTCAAATATTTTCAATTTTTCCATTGTTTATTGCAATGCAACACTAGAGAGCAGATGACTATTTCAAGAGTTCAGCCAGATAGCACATTAAACATGAAGCACTAAATTCTCCGCAGAAAAATTAACGACGTGACATTCAAAGCCGCCACTACTTGATATTGATAATGCAAATGAAGCTGAGAATAGGAAAAGTAGAGTAGATTTTTTTAATGTAACTTTTATGCGATATCAATAAAATTAAACAAATTTGTTAACTGTAAAATGTACAAAGATTATTTAGGTAAGGATCTGAAAGGTTTAAATGATGATAAGAGCACAAAGAGTTTTTTAAACTGAATCTTTTTCAATATTCGAAGGATCCCGGAATTGGATATCCCATTCCTATTCTAAACTTTTATCATTAATTTCAAAAAAATTCCAAAAAGGACTCTAAATTTTGGTAGAAATTTTTATTTAACTTTATTGATATCATTCAGTTAAATGCATTCGTGTCTAAAAGTTAATTTCCAAGAAAAAAGAAATATTTTTTCATTTCGGATATTACAAATCATTATGTTAAGTCCTGATCAAAACGTTTCTGTTAGAGGGCCATAAGAAATTACCACTAATGTTTAACAGCTCTCATATCGCTATATGAGGATACCAATATGCATCTGGTGAATTACTAATAAGCATACAAGTCTGAAACGTATTTTGATTGTAAGAAAACTAGATCGACTTCTGCAATGCTTTTCGTCTAGCTACAAGGCTACATTTCCTTTAAAACAGTGAAAATTCAGTATCCACGAGCCTACATGTTTGTGGTCACTCGATATTTCATCAACTTTTCTAATTAACCTACTTGCAAATTTTAAACTCTGTACGTCCTTCAAGGTCTTCCATCATCGCCTTCCTCTTTCCTCTGAAAACAAATCAAAGCGCCTGGATATTATATTAGCTGAGGACATCAACGAAGCATGAACTGCGATTAATACTTAACCGTATCCCTTACACATTAATTTTTCCTGTCTATGCAAATAAATTCTCTCTATTTTTCTTTTGTACAGGCAGATTTATGATACTTGTCATGCTTGGGTGATATAATAAAGCGGGAATGTTCCTTCCTATTCTACGTATTTTGAACCTTGGGATGCTGTTTCGAAATCAATAAACCATTGTTTACTTTTCGTTACATTAACTCGCTTTTCGAAGGAGGTCAGGGATGCCCTTCGAAGCGAATGACCTTCGAATGGCCGGAAAATGACCTCTTGCGAGAGTGATAACGTCTTTAAGATGTGATGTTATCTGAACAGACCTCCGCAATAGTTGTTAGATTTACGGGTTCTGAAATGTTCGTAAAAGGTGCTTGTGTTTCAATTATAATGGGTGTCAACTTGGAAAGAAAGTATGATTGCTTTGTAAAATTAAATTTCATTACTTTAAAAATTCATATTTTAAAATGATTAGTTATTCCTAGCTGAAGAACATTCGGAATACTCAATTCTTGCGAATATCGAAAACGATTCGAGAGTCGAAAACTCGAATCATCTCGTTTGTTATAAAAAACCTGCATTAAGCCATGGCAGCCTGTACATCAACACAAGCATCCGGTGGTTCAGTTGTAGAATGCTCGCCTACCACGCGGACGTCCAGGGCTCGATTGCCGGCAGATGCACCATTGTAAGGAATCTGCATTAAACTGTGGCGGCCCGTACAGGAACACAAAGCATCTAGTGGTTCATTTTCATTTACCATTTATTATCGTTATGTACATATTTACATTTATCCTATTATTAGGTGCACCAACCTTCACAGAACTTATACTGCCTAATCAACCGATACTTCGTTTCTGCCTTACATGTAATCAGTTCTGCTGCCAAGCAGCGTCCTCTAAATTCTCTCTTTCCAACACTTATTTTGTCGTTCGAATCTTTAGTATCATTAAACTTTTGAATTCAAAAGTGTAGAAATATCAGTCTTATTGGCATCCCATAGTAGCGATCATTTGCAACGTGGGCAGTCCTATTATGCTAAATGCCTACAAACCGAAACAGCCAGAATTTTTGAGTAATTAACATATAAAGTCTCGCATGTTTTGCTATCATAAACTAAGCTTGATATTCAAAAATTGTTTAAGGAATTATCTCTAAGACTTAAGGTACGACAGAAGTCAGGAGAAGATGTAAAGGACCCTTTATTAATTCAGATAAAGCTCACAAATGGCACCAAGTCGTGCTTACAAAACCCAATACTTTTGGCCTAACTCAAAAAGTAATGATTAACTTAAAATTAAATGAAGTTAATTTAGCCTAACGGCGTCACAGGTTACTTGTCGCGCAAGCCGGCTGTGACTCGTAAAAGTTGGCCTAAACAAGCCTAATGGCAAGAATAGCTCAATGCCACAGAAGTCTAATTGCTAGGAAATCAAAAGTAGCAGCGTAGCCTTTAAGTAAGCAGGACACGCTCTGAATTCACCTTCCAAAAACCTTCCCTTACACCAACTTCATTCTACCTCATTTTAGTATACGTGCGATAGGTTATTTGTATTCTAGCAAGAAAGAGTGAGTTGAAGGAAAGCAAGAGCCATAGGAAAGGCTGCTTCAGAATAAAATAACTATTAAGTAAATTAAATGAATTCCCACAAATGCACTGCGCTTTTTCTAATGTTCTCGAATCATCTGAACAATTTTAAACATAGGTAACCTACTACTGCTAAATCCTGGATATTCCTAACATTTCTGCTATGCTATGTAAAACCTGCGTCTTGCACAAGACTCTAGTTTTCAAAGTTGAATTGCTTAGCACCGATTGATGACTTATGAATGGTTAACTGGAAATCTGAACTCTCAGTCAAAAGTTTCTTCTCATATTATTTGCCAATACAGAAAAGGAACTCCAAGATTTCATAATTTCAGTTTAATTTCATTCATCTTTCTAATAAATATAGGTAAATTTTTAAAAATATTTTTGTTAAATTTCATTTTTCGTTGCACGCATATTTCAAATTTTCTTAACTGTTAAAATCTTAACACTGAGTAAAAATGTTCGTCTTCTCATTTCGGTCTGGAGCATTCGAGAGATTCACGAACTTTTTAAGATTCGGGTTCTAAAACATTAAGGTCCCACTTCTAGATTTCTCGAAACTTCTTGATAAGAATTTTTTCACTAATTTTTTCATCAAGACGATAAGGGGAAAATATATTCAGAATTCGTGTATGTAATCTAAATTGGGACTTCAGTTGCAATTTTAAACTGGCCTTCTAAGCTGCTATTTTAGTATCATTATTCCAAGCTCCTTGCTTTATTGGCATATTTATTTAATGATTTCGCCAGGTATTATTTACGCCTCATTTCATACAATCGCCTCTATTCTATATTATAGGTTTAATGGGAGACTTCTAACATCTGCTCCATTTTCGAAAATAAAGGCATACAGCAATTATTACTGTTATTGCGGTCTTAAAAAGGATTTGATAACTTTAAGAATCTGCTTATTGAATTTTCTGTATATATGTTTAAAATGCAAGATTTAAATGCGAAATGCATAATCTTAATTAATACAACAGCAAAAGGGAATAAAATAATTATAAGTTTTAAAGAAAAGTATGTTTACTTCAGGTAAGAGATTTACTAAATAGTTTTAAAACATTTCTTTGATAATTAGTTAATAAAGTAAGTATTAGAAGAAAGAAATTACTTCAAGAGTTTAATAAATTAATTTGCTGAATGAGAATTCACTGTTACAGTCCTCAGAACCAGATTTATACTTGATAAGGCCCTAAGCTATTTGAGATATGGGGCCCTTCATAAGTATGTTATAATATATTTTTTTAAATATTTATACTACATTTTAATTTTTTTTGGGGGGGGGCTCCCAAGAAAGTGGGGGCCCTAAGCTATAGCTTGTGTAGCTTATACGTAAATCCGGCCTTGATAATCCTATGCAATTATATAAATTGTATTTATGAAAATTCGATTTAATTTCATAAATTGCATAAATATTTGAAATAATTTAAATTTTATAAAGTTTAATGTTTTAAAAGCCTTAAATATAAACTTATTATTTATATTATTTTTATGCCGCCCAGACAGTATAGTGGATAATGGAGCCTACTGCGGTACCGAAGGTATAGGGTTCGAATTCCGAAGAAGGCATAGCTTTAACTGTCTATCCCTTCATAAGAGGTAACGGTTGCCCACCTATTAGGTGCTTCCACACTAAAGTGGCCACCACTTCCGGCCTGAGTAGCGCCCAAGCCTAAGTCGGTTAAGTACCTCGTACCTCCCAATGAAAGAAAGTACTTCGTTTCATTAATTAAATATTAAAAATCATTATTTAAAATATCGTATTGTTTTCATATCGTATTGAATAAACGACCAAAACATAACTATCTATCCGATATGATGCTGAACATCTGCGTCTTGCCAGACACTCTTGCCTGGTGAAGCATCGGACACCTCAATATATCTAAAGAAGTTCTTGTGATTTCTGGTACCAAGCGATTTCCAATAGATCATTTAATTCTTGAAATTGTGTATTGAATCTTCAGTGAGTTGTGAGTGTATATGAGTGAAGTTCAGAAATTCTCTTTTGTGTTCCCTGAGCCTTTATTTTGAAGATTATGCATAGTGTCGTTAGCATTTCCTGAGAGGAATTCTGATGCAATGAAAAGAAATATGAAATAATTAATTAACATTATATTCAGCAGTGGTACTTGAACAGAAAACAGACATTGGAACATTGAAAACTTTGGCACATGAACCAAAGTGCCCAGTTGCTTCCAAAGTAGCTATGCCAAAGTGCTTCCAAATTACGTGAACATAACTGACAATCTCCCATCTCATAATAAAATATTAGAGTCGTTGAGTTCAAGTTACATTCTACCAATCCTTCAAACACAAATTTGGATTCTGATATGCTCACTAAAACGCATTCGGTGCAAGACTTACAGCAAGAACTCTCTCAATGACCGCTGGCTACGCAGCACCATTTTCGATGCGTACGTCGTGCATATTATCACACACTAATGCAGTTATTAACATTTGCAAGTTATCAACCAACTATGCTATAACATTCCATATAGCGGCTGATAGCAACTTCTATTTTCCTTGTAGTTTGGATTAGTTTTACGTCTATTATGTTTTTTGAAAATAATAATGATGTGTGATTGACTTCCATTTCCAAATCTTTTTCTTGAAAAACTTTGGCTTGAAAAGATTAATCACAAAATTCAGAACTTTGACGATAATTATTCGGATTTTGTAATATTTCTTAAATCCTTGCCTTTTTCTTCAGTAAAAGAAGAGTAACACTGATTAGCGGGTTACACATGCTTTCATGAACATGATATACGTTATCGTTTGCCTGTAGTTGCTTCCATTTGTATTTTGTAGAACTTTTGTTACAAAAACATTTTATAAATGGAAATCTTTTTCTTTTTCTTTCTGTTGTGAGATTTTAAATGTTCTTAACATGTATTTCATGTAAGTTTTTACTTATTTCAGGAGGATACACAGCTTTACCACTGATGCATACCGACCATCTACTTCCAAAGACGTGAACATCGACATTTCTGCTGCTGCTATGTGGTGAAGCTTGTTCTAATAAGGAAATATACGGACGTGCCTAAGCAACGTACTGTAAAACGTTAGTGTAAATCTGTCAAAGGATCCATGGATCCCATTAACTCTACAAGTTCCTCGTGCAAGCCATTTTGTCACTGTATTCTTGTTGTACCAATTACGAAAATGAATGTAAACGTGCAGGTTACTGATAAAGAAATGTTAAAGAAGAAAGCCATATGACTTTATTCGCAATGTTCCTTAGTCAATGTTCATGATGAAATGGATAAATATTTTGCAACAGTAATTTAATATTTTATATCGGTTTATAAACTGCAATCTTCTATGAACGTCACCAATATCTTCACCACGTTTTTCGTAAGTGGAAAAATATTTCAATGGTGTTCTGACTCAGGCATGGGAAATTCGTGACAAATCTTTACAAAAATAAGAAGCAGGAAAACATCTGTCCATTTATGTGCTGCGTTCTTGCTTTCTTTGTCGTAGTGAAGGCGGATTGAGGGATAATATGGGAAATGTAAACTGCAAATAGTTAACCAATCCTGACTGAGTTCCTCTTATAAAGTTTGAAATAGGTGTGTTTCATTAAATTATTTGGAGATTTGAAGAAGTTTAATATGGAAAACGCATGCATCGTGACTGACCTTTTGGTATGCTTTTATGTAAAATTTACTGCCATTTAATTCGATCTGTGTGATATCTTCTAAGAAAGTTCGCCATATTTAATTGAATGAATTTTGTTATTTGTGTTTTAAAATTCAGGCCATAGTAAAGGTAACATTTTCAACGGGTAATAATGTGTGTAAAATGATTTTGGCCCATAAATCTACACTGAGAGATTTTGACTAGATACGTTTTTGCCAAAATCGTCGCAAGACTTGCAAGAGTGACCATTTGTAATGATTATTTGTGAGGTATGGATGTTTAAATTAATATTACTTTGCATGTACATAATTTTAGATAAAGAAATGTAACCATGGTCATATCATTGTACATATTTATTTATCGATGTCTAAGAGTGGAATGAATATTATGAAACTCGAGGTTTGTTTTTGTACACATTATAAAAGTGCAATGTTCTGTTAAACTGAATGCGTAATTGTTTTAGAAATAAATAAATAATTTAAGTCACGAAATTGTGCTGATTATTTTACTATGATTTCAATGCAATCTGAAACACATAAACATCCATTAGTATGGGTTCATGTAAAAATAATTATTATATTACGAACAGTATTCAATTTTATAAAACAGAACTTAATTCTTCTGAGTGAAAACTTAAAGATTTAAATGACAATATTTTATTAATATATAAAAAATATAAATAATCTTAGGTTTTAACACTACTAGAACTTCCTGATCACTACATTGATCGAGAAGGTTATTTCCATTTCGGAGGACCAAGTAAATCACGTACTGGGAAAGGCACAGATACTTGTGATAGTAAGTGTTTATGTGTAATGTGTGCATTGAATTCAACAGTAGGGAAAGCTTCTTAAGATATTACTGGAGGAGGAAGAATAGTACTATGTACTCAAATTCTATTCGTTGGAGTCTTTTTGCCAATATTTGCATGAAACTGAACGAATACGTCACCACTGACGCTCGAGACAAGAAAACTTATGAGAATGACAGTTATCAACAATAGATTTGCCTCTGACTCCATATGATTACCCATGAATATTACTTTTTATTCATCATAATTAATACGTTTCAGTTATTCTTCAGTCTAATGGGGAAGGACAGTTCTACTGGGCCGATTGACGAAATTCAATTTGCATTTTTTATGTTTCAAAAGCGCGACTTAGGATATATTAGATTTATATATTGCATTCCTCTAACATAAGTATTTTGATGCAGAAATCGGACTTTTTCTGGCGCACTTTTTTCAGATTGCGCTAAGTGTAGTTCTTTTGGCGAAATTCTTCAATTTATAGTAATTATTTACCTTTCTCTTTCTACACTGTGCACAAGCCGAAAAAAATGTTGCATCGTTCATTCTTTCAAATAATTTTAACAAAGCGCGTAAATTTTAACCATCGGCCGAGAAGAACGGGAGATATAGAACTGTGCCATTTTGTTGGGAGGGGGATTGGGGTAAACTCAGTTTTAAAAAGCACGATTAAAAACTTTCTAGAAAATTTAATAGTATTTCTTTCTAAAACTGGATTCTTAAAAAGGTTCTTAAAAAATGTGTGATTATCATGTACGTAACCAGTATATTTTAGTACTAAATTTCGGCTTCGTATAGACAGTCAGGCAACTTATCACCCTGTTTAAAACTTCCAGTGAAATAACACTGCTGAGAAGAAGATTTAAACCAGGGGTTCTCAACCGGTGGTGCGCAAGAGAAAAATAAGTGGTACGTAAAACGAAGCAAAGTATTTTTGCCTATTAAATTCAAAAATTAAAACCCCAACATCCTAATTGAGTTTTTTTCTGTAACATTCGTAAATTTATGCGATCTGAGCTTTGTTCAAGAGTGGTGGTAGTAGTACTTTGTAGTCGTGGTACTAAAGTTTTCCAATTTTTGTTTAGATAGTCAGCGTTGGTCAAAAAGCATTTTACCACTAAAACATTTTGCTAGAATTTAACAGCTTACCCTGCTCCCTTATTAACAAAACAAAGTCCTGCTTCTTGCAAGATTTAACAAAGCATAAACGCTGACCTAAAACTTAAGTATGCAGGTTTTATGATATTTAAGCTATATTATGAGCTTTGGTTCAGGCGTTTTAATCATGCGAACGAAACGTAACTTGCAAAGGCTAAAGTCTATTCGGGTAAAATTGAGCGAAATTGGTTTGGGGAAGATCAGCAGTCGCTATTAGAAGCTCTCTCTTAACTTCGTGAAATCTGTTCTCATATACATGAGCTAATTTCCTTTCTGGAGGAAGGCGATAAAAGCAAAGATAAAATTATAAGGTAATGGATTTATACACATAAAACCCTACAATTATGTACAAAGAATGTATGTTATTGATACTTGAAGAAATAAATGAGCCTAAATAGATTGTAATATCAATGAACATTTTTAACGACAGAGATTAACTTAAACATAGTTGCGTACAGCAGAAAAAAAAGGGCGAAGAAGTAAGAATGGTATACATATACATACATACGTAATAAACAGTTACGTCATCATCACCGAGCCATGAACCTTATAAGAAATAGACTAACCCAAACGGGTTTTCTCCCTCAACTGAGGCGTTGCCGGCTGTCACATTGATCACATCCGGAGGAGTAGGGACGACTTACAGAAATTTAACATTGGTTGCCTATTGCAGTGTGTATAATTGTCGACAAAAATCTGGTTGTAGCGCCTCATTTCACAAATTAGATTTTCTACATATTTTTATTTCTGAAACTGAGATTGATTTAAAAAATTTAGCATATTTGTCAAGCATAATTAACGTTCCAAATAATTATGAAGCTATTGCACGCTTTCAATGCTAGATATTATTTTAGCTTTTCCTATGCCGTAAAGAAATTTGTAACTACTTTTAGAAAATAATATTTTAAATCTGTACTAATAGAAAATTTCAAGCAAGCAATTTTCACTTGCAAGTTTTATGCTTTTTATTGGTGTAAATAAGTAAAAAATGCTAAAATATTTAAAAACGAATTTTTGAAAGTTTTCTTTAAAATTCTAAATTGTGCTGCTTTTTTAAAATTATAGATGAGTAGTATAGCACAATTTCTATAAATGAATTTTATTTCAATTATATTTCATAATACATCATAGTGATAAACAACTTTGACTCCTTAAAAAATTTATACATTTAATTCTAATATTAAAATTGTATTTAATCGTAATAATTAATTATGCTTGTATTTTATAGTTATTATTTTTTAAATTTAATTTTAGTTCTGCATAAGATTTTTTTTATTTACTGTTAATTTAATTTATTAGCCCAAAGCTGCGGTAGCCTAGAAAAGATGTTAGTTTCGAAGCGGCATTTTGCACTGTTTTACTATAAATGTCCGTGTCTCCTTGCAAATTGTTGTTACGAAATATTATCGCCCTGTATTATATGTAAAGAAATTAAATAATGAAGAATCTGCATGAATACATGTATGTTTCTCGCACTGTTACAAAAACGACGGTATCTAGAGCCATCAAATTTTGAATAATGTAATCCTCCATACGAACATCGGCTTCTGAACGGCCGAATTTCGAATTTGTTTCAATCTATTTCATATTTTGTAAAACTTTAACGAGTTCAGAGCGAGACTGTACAGAAAATAACAGTTTTATCTCCACTGCGGAAATTCTAAAGATATGCTGTTTCCAAACTATGTGGTTTACGGGCGAAGAACATGATATTCAATAAATATAGGTAACACACAAAACTTTAAAAAAAAGGTTCCCTTTGGGCGTAATATAAAATCTGAGTGCTTCTAGATTTTATTTTATCTTTTTTTTTTTTCCCCCTTCATTACGCTCAGAAAATTCTATGTTCCGAATTTTAAGAATTAGTAAAATAACTAATCCACTTTAATGTTAATAATTTAATAATCATATAATCAAATAAATATGATAGTTTTGAATGTTATTATAGTTTGGAAAATCACTGCCTGAAAATGTTCATTAATTTTTTTAAAAACATTGTCAAATCTTGTTTAATTTACCTTATTTATTTCAAAGTATCACGTACTGTCAGTCTTACTTAATTTATTTAATTTTACTTTATTTTTACGCAAAATTAAGTTTATAAATTTTGTGCTTAGAGTTTTACCAAAGTAAATATGTTTGTACAAGAAATTACGTGTGAAAAAAATGCGCGAAATAAGTAAAAAGTGCTTTAATGAGATATATTAAATCCTATTTGGAAAAAAACTGTGGCTTTCATAATCTCATCACTATACAACGTAACACATTTAATAATTAAAAAGAGTTATGTGATACAAACCCCATAGGTTTCAATGTTAAAGTAAACCAGATCGTCCCTACTCTTTCTTGCCGACATGTCGGTGACGCACGCCCCGCCCACTGGGTTAGTCTATCTCTTATAAGGTCCATGCACTGAGCGGATAAACGCGAACGGCGCATGCGTCAGGAGAAGCTCTCTTAAGCTAAACGTCGTATTATAATTTATGATACAACAATCCCCCTTTCGACGTTTGGCGGCTGAAAAAAAAATAAACACTAATCATTTACAGTTATTCCAATTAATTTACAGCACTTAGAATGTTTCGAAGCAGTCAATGTTTTTGTCAGTACATCAGCAGGCATTTTCTCTGTTGGCACATATTTAACGTCTATTTCATTTCTTTCATAAATTTCACGAATGAAATGATGTCTAATATCTATGTGTTTAGTGCGTGAGTGATAAACAGCATTTTTCATAAGCTTCTGTGCACCTTGATTATCACAATATATAATGGTTGGATAATCAGCATTAAAATTTAATTCTTTAAGGAAACGACGTAAATAAACTGCTTCTTTGGCACTTTCTGAAAGACTGATGTACTCTGCTTCAGTACTTGATAATGCAACAGTTTGTTGCTTTCGTGATTCCCATGTTATCGGATTTCCAGCAAGCTTGAATAGGTAACCTGTATACGATTTTCTAGTATTAACATCAGACGCCCAGTCGGCATCGGTATATCCAATAAGTGCTTTTCCAGTCTTTCGAAATTTTAAACAATAATTTTTAGTTCCTTTTAAGTATCGAAGAACGCGCTTTGCAGCCAACCAGTGTAATTTTCCAGGATTGTTATCAAATTGGCTCAGGTGACTGACGACATATGTAATATCCGGCCTAGTAAACACAGAAAGATACATAAGCGAACCAATTAGACGGCGATAAGGTGCATTGTTCATTTCTTCCTTTTCAGTTTCAGAAGGACACATTTCTTTACTTAATTTCACACTAGGATCTAAAGGAGTTGCTACTGGTTTTGCATTTTGCATATTAAACCTTCGTAGAATATTATCAACATATTTCTGCTGAGATAAACTAATAGAATTATTATTTACATCTTGATTAAATTCTATTCCAAGACAATAATGAAGTTTGCCTAAATCTTTAACATGAAATTCTTTAGAAAGATAACCTTTAAGTTCAGCATATAGATCACAGCTATTTGTTGCTATTATTAAGTCATCCAACAATAAAATTAGAATTAACTCACC